TTTCTCGCGATTTCCTGATCATGACAAGGAGCACACGCGGGTGTGACCGGTCAGCAGGGGATGCTCAATCCTAATGGCACCTGATCTGATGTTTTGGAGGTCCGTGTTTGGTCTGCTCCTATTTTGTATTGTTTAATGGCGTTTGATATTGAATACTGTTCGTTATATCCATATCCATCTGTTTATGACCTTACGTGGTCTTCGATAGTTGCTCCATAACACTAGGAAGAATCTGTTTAATTCAGTGGATACGGATTGATAACCTCGAATTCGCTGACAAGATGGTTTTTTTTTTCAACGAAAACCAAATGGAAGATAGGACCACACACTCCTACCAATAAAATCTGCTACGCGAAGGCTCACAAATATGAAGCAGTTGCACACCGCTGACTGTACCTCAGTAACAGAAATTGGAGTGCCAGTAAAAACCCGGAGGTCTTGGTTTAACTGAGAAATCTACTAGCTTTAAAGAAGAGACACGAAGAAAGGTTTCAAATTTTAGACTTGCATTTTATAAATAAGAAACGTTTTACGCAAGTATACTTTCTTTCAAAGATTCATAAATGTATTAACAAGAAGGATATGGAGATAACGAACAGTATTCAAGTCCATAAAAAAATACAAAATAGGAGTAGAGCAAACACTGACCTCCAAAAAAGGATTTACGACAGGGCAATATCAATTTATCTCTGACTGTAAATTTGATTCACAGAAACTGTTCTATTATTTAAAAATCTGTCAAGTAATTGTAAATCTAAGTGATCTAAGATATCATTATTAACGATATTTACGTTACCTGTTGTAACGTGTCCAGCGGGACTATACATGTAGTTATAGGGTGAAGATGATTATAAATGTGTTTCAAATACAGTCAAACTTGTTTTAAGAGGCCACCTTTGGGAAGTCTGGAAACTGGCCACTTAAGACAGGTGGCCTCTTATTCCAGTTTGCCCTCAAAAAAGACGTTCGGTCAATGAATAAACAACATTAAGAACTACTGTGTTACAGTTAAATTAATTAATAAATATAGTAAGTATTGCTTTTGTTACAATGAAATATTTTAAAAATTCTTTTAATTATCATTTGAAGAAATACATACAGTGCCTTAGTATTATCTTTTTTATGAAGAAAAAAAATTACACAAACATACAGTTGAATGGTAAATAAAATAAAGCATAGAAATTTAAGTAATAATACATGTCAATAAAAATTTCACTTTCATATGTTCAAAAAATGGTCAGCAGTGTAACCCCCCCCCCCTTAATTAATAGGCAATTAACTTGCCTGCTGAAATTTTTTAAAGTCTGGTAAATTCTATTATTTATAAAGCTGTCAGAATTTCTATGTAACATAGACACACAAATAAAATTAACCACTTGACCAGAGAGGTGTATTTACGCAGTTGAAAATCATTCTACAACAGAGGTGTCCTGTTCAGTAGAGCGTGACTAATCCCTATCGATGGTCTCCTGATAGTGAAATTCACGAGATAATCATGCCATATGAAGCACTTTGTTTTCACAAGAGTAGCAATTAGGGCTTCTACATGGAATCAAAATCTAAAAGGTGTGAATTTCTTTAGCTAGAGGAACGTATCAATTGTAATTAAATTCTTTTAATTTTTCAATCGGCGATCTTGAAAAATAAAATTGATTTAACAGGAGAAAGATTTTTTTATACACATAGAGTTCAGTGTATCTAAATGTAATTTATTTAATTGTTTTAATAGGTTAAATAGACTATCGAGCATGTAATCACCCAAAGGAATGTGTTTGAAAGACGTGATGACATCGTAACAAGTGACGAAATGGCCGCCTATTACAGTGTCAATAAGGCTGTTCGGGAGGATTTGAGTGGCTGCTGGCCGCGTTACGCAGGTGGCCGCTTATTCCAGTTAAAATATATAGTAAAAATTGTTGGGGGGGAACTGAAAGTGGCCGCTGACCGCGAGTGGCCGTTGATTTCGGGTGGCCGCTAAGACAAGTTTGACTGTACTCGGTATAAAGGCCATATAAAGTTCTTTTTGTGTGATTAAAAAGTTTTGAATCAATGGTCGATGTATGTATATCTGTAGGAAATACAAGGTGTAGTCTTTAACTTGAAATATGCTGAAAACCAAACTGGATCCTTATGGCATTGAGAATATTACTTCTGTTTACCGCATCAATGTCTTTATTGTTATACAAGACTGGACAATGGACTAATCACCCCTACTAATGTGTTCGGAACATTTTTATTTTTCGGTTATAAAACCCGATGAGTTCAGAGTAGCTCTGGCGGTGATTCTGACGAGAGTTAGCGAGACTTCAGCGAGATAGGGTAAATTATTCACGGAAATGTGGCTAGGAAGTGACTTGCACGTGGAGGCATGGTAAACAGAAAGGTTATGTTGCGTTTCAGTTTTCACAACCCTATAATATCTGTAGAAATTTACTTTAATCGATCTCTCTTGAATTCATCCAAACTTAAATAAGTATTCTCTATAATAAAATTTCTGCAGTCATGAATTATAAGTTCTTTTAGGTTAAATATTTTTGCATGGGAACCGGGATTATATTTTTTGGCGTCAGATTTGCAAATGAGACAGCAACATGACTTAACTGACAAATCAGAAGAATGAGAATTGCATTATGGGTTACTAGGAATTAATACTACAGGAATTTTACGCTTGAAAGAAAAGGAAAATCTTACGGCGATCGGAAAGGCACAAAGGCCATTTTCCCATTCATTTCGTAAATGAAAAGCATTTTTTAGTTTTCATTATTTTCATGCTCACAATGACAAACAATTCATTTGTTAAATTAACGTGGAAGTCTAGGTCTCTTAAAGTCATGCTGCAATTGAAAGCGATTTGCGTCTCTATTAATTCTTTTGTTGGACTATCGGTGAATACAATTGTAAGGTGGATTCCCTGGCAAAAACATATGATCACAAGTATAGTTATGTATAAACTGTTTGTCCATTTAAATGCATCAGAGATGCATCTCGTTTTCCTTACCCTTGTTGAAGTGCTGGTGTTCTGAATTTGACACAAAATACATTTTATGAAACATATTTTTGCATAATTAACAAAAGAATAAAAATGCCCGTGGCATCTTTCATACTTTCTAATCTTTGTATTTTGTTTATAAGATTAGACCATTTTTTTTAAAATTTGCACTTCATTGACCTGATCATAGATTGACCTGAACCACGTATTCGAAGTAAACATGTATTTGGCGTAAACGTTGCTATTCAACTATTGGTCAGTTGCTCGTAGTAAGATCCTCTGTGCGCATTAATAAAAATAGCCATATAAGGCAAACAAAGATTTGTCAGTGTAGAAGATATTTCACATTTTTACCAGCGTATCGGTAGCAAGACTCGTGTGCTCTAATTTCCGCCGTAAATTATGATAAGATATATTGTTATTTTAACATGCCCCCTTTAGACACCATTTCTGTTGAAAATCATGAAAGTCTTTCAGAAAGGCCTGGAAACATATTTTTCACAGGACATCTTTTCAAAAGAAACAAAAAGTATTCAAACAGACTATACCAGTTTCCTGTTTACTGCCATTTTTTTTATAAAACCGGTTCTATCCTTTTAACTTTGAATGGGTCAACCTAAACCACGTGCCTTGAATTTAAATCACAATAACATTAGTAGGGGTGAAATATATCATCAAAAAGAAAGACAACCGCTTTAGATTTACATGCATATTAGGTCTCCATACCTTTATAATCAGACACAGAGACAGACATGCATTAGATTTATTAGAGACAGACATGTACTAGACTTATTAGACCTATTGCTTTGCTTAATTAACATTCCGGCAGAATTATCAAGAAATCAACTCAATGAAATAATCTCAGAGAAAACAAATAGAAATGGAAATATTAGTATATCAAGACAAGGCACGAAAAAATCGGACACATCGGGGGAAAATCACTTTCTCTGATGTATTAATTTTCTAACTGATTTATTTTCTTTGCACATGTCCTTGTGATTAAACTATGAAAACTGAATTCTGTAGAATCATCCTACCTTTCTAGGAAGCAGTAATGGCGACCGACCAGTTGTTTACTCGATCGGATCCCTTGACTACCATGGAGGTACCCGTATGTTTTACCTGTCAAGTGTTTTATACGTCCTAGTATATTTAGGTTATCTGTATATTTTAAACCCGTCTAGATTTTACAGCCAATGAAATTTTGAACTTTGAACACACAGTGCTATACTGCGTTTATACGAGTAATTCAATAATCTAGAGGGATCAAATGTTTAAAACCATTGTAAGAACTTCAAAAAAGTTCTTGTTTATCTGAAAAACACATTCCAACCTTGATGCTTGTAGTTTTACATTAAAATGCTTATGACATACTTCTTTGAATGCAATGCTGATATAAAAATCGCCACACTTATTCTATGACAAAGTCAACCAGCACGTGGTACGATGTATCAAAATATGTTACTTTTCTGTGATAACCTGATTGCCTTTCCCTTTATGTTTGCTAAAAATTCTTTCTTGCAGGAGAAATCTAGAAAATTCTTGTTCATTGTAGTCCACTCAACCCATCCACAAAAAACCTCACTTGAGCTTTTTAAAAGCTTATGTGAGCAAAAAGAGCTTAGTGTTAGTAGTAAACAAAATATTGAGTAATTTCCAATACGGTCTTAGAGTGAAACAGCAGAATGGTTATATATGTGTTTTGACTGATTTTATCAAACAATATTTGAATATAGTATTTTGTACAATGCTTGGTGATTATCTACAAAGAGACATAAAAAGATAACGTGTTGAAAAATATAAGTACATTTATGAATATCCCAGATTTATAGTTTAGCGTTTTAGAGTTGATTAAACTAGCGATTGCATAGTTTTAGTCGAATACCCAGAGAATGTTTCTGAAAGACAATCACACATTATGAGACGAACACAATAACGTTTTATATACGTATTCTGTGATGTTTACGCCTCCACTTTCAACATATAAAAAGTCTCATGACTTTCCCTGCATTTAACTGATAATATCAATTTTTCTATTTCTGTATTGAGCAACAAGTAGCAAGTCATTTTCTTCAGTACACAGACCCCACGGAAAACTCAGGCCGCATACTACATAACGGAGAAATTCTCCGTTGTGGTCGATTACGTGAACACAATGATTTTTGATGTCATCTATAAGGATGTGACTCTGACTGTCGGTGGTAATTCCTCGTGGATCAAATGGTTTGTTCTTTAGAGCAGGAGTATGTCCAGTGTATCTAAATCTCAGTTCCCCGGCCTGATTGACCACCACTACTGCTCCGGCCCCATGGTCTGATATGCAGATATCCAGATTCCTGTTCTCAGTGATATATCTGTAAAAAAAAACTCCGGAGGAAAAAAGAAGGATGCCCTTTTAAGCAAAAATGGTCTGCTTCTCTTTGAAACCTACATAACGGACAACATTTGATTGTTATAGTCATTGCTGATCATTATTACAAGAAAATGTCCAGAGGAGGAACTGCAGACTCCGTGCGGTATCCAGTTTTCTGTTCTGAAAACAAGGAACTTTTCTTAATCATTCAGAATATTTACAGATCTTTCATGACAATCAGTATAAACTAAATGTCCTGTACTTGGAATTGCTATGCTTTCTTGACGATGCCCGGACAATGTTTTGAATGACTTAAAAATTGTTCTCTGATCAGACTGAAATACTTTTACGGAGCAGTTATCTCCATTTGTCCAGATTTGTTTTTCACTGTAGCCTACTACTTTATAAAGATTCGAGGTGTATTGTGTTGCTACCGTGGAGATAATCCCCGGTGTTGGAAGAATCTGTTTGATATTTCTTGGTGTTGTTGTATCCGTACCAAATGTTAGCGAGCCAAACCACATGGAAACCAGCTCCTCTGGAACTTGTAGCGTGGAAAAGGTTGGTAAACGTATTTCTACTTTAGGAATGATCTCCATTTCAAAGTCTGTTTGAAACTTTAGGGATTTAGAAATATTATTTGATTTAAGGATGTCATTTATTTGTTCCATATTTTGTTGTACTTTTTGAGTATTCCGTTTTATTTTGGTTTTGCATCTTTTCAATTCATCCCTGTGTTTATTTTCCAGTTTTGCTATTTCAGAAGTTAAATTATTAAAATGTCTTTCGATGGCGTTGTAACACTCCCTTTTTTGATAAGAAATATCTGTTCTGAAATTCTATAAATCCATTTCAAGTTTAGATTCTTGTTTTTTCTACTTCACATAAAAGAATTTTATACATCTCAGCAAACTCCGTATTAAGTTTTTCCGTATCTGATTTAAATCGTGATTGCTTTTCTTAAAAATATCAAAGATATTTGAAAATGTATATTGCAGTGAAGTTCAAAAGTTTTCCTCTAGTGGGAAGGGCACCAATGGAAAATGGTAGCTTTACTTCGTAAATAAAAACCCACGAACGTATGACACCGGGTAACATCTGATGAGACATGTGTCCAAATGCATGTTCTACAGAGGTTGACATCACATAGCGCGCAGAGAATCTTGACCTCAAAGGAATTACAATTTACACATTGCAATATTTCTTGGGCACTAGTTTTTGGATCCATGGCTTTTCACGAAATTGAAACAAAACGAATCTTCTTTTTAAAATTATCAAATGTCACATATTAATATTTTTCATAAATAATAGCTTCAATAAAGTGAAATCTTCAAGCGACAGATCCTGTCAAAACTGGAAGTGCTATTGATAAAGCATAGATTCTACAGTTCGATAAAGCATTAGCTTATCTAATGGACTGTATCCCCTAAAAGTATGAGATTAAGAACAGTAACATCAATGTAAATATTTGATTTTCTTCACTTGTGTGTTTTTTCCATTGAGCAACAAGCAGATTGTCATTTATATAGATGTAAAATCCCCTGGAATAACTCAGTCAACAGCGTATGTAACGGAGGAACTGTCCATTCTGGTCTATGATGTTTATAGAGTCATTTTTATTATCAGCAAAACGATGTGACTCTGATTGTCTCTAGTTATTCCGCGTGAACTGAATGGTTCATTCTTTGGAGCAGGGGTGAATCCAGTATATCTGAATCTCAGTTTTCCGGCCTGATTGACCACCACTGCTGCTCTAGCTCCACTGTCAGACACACAGATATTCAGGTTTCTGTTCTCAGTTATGTATCTGTTAAAACGCCCAGATTAATAGAGAGGCTTTCCCGCATCGTCAAACTGTATGGTTTGTTTCCCAGTGGAGCCAGAGTAACGAACAACTATTTTTTGTTTGTTATCGTTACTTTACATGATAACCTGGAGGTCACCCGAGGGGTACTACAGACACCATTAGGCTTCCAGTTCTGAAGTCTGATCACCATCCCTATCTTCTCATTCTTCACAATGTTCACAGTTTTATCACCTGTATCAGTATAAAGTAGATCTCCATTTTTTGTCACTGCTATGTCAGATGGTATGTTTCCTGACTTGGTTGTGACAGACTTAAGTATAGATTCATTATTTATGCTGTAGAGTTTCATGGTCTTGTCATTTCCTCTGGTCCAGATTTCTTCAGACAGGCCACTTTGTAAAGGATTCCATACCCAGTATCTGTGGTGGTGTTGTGAGTCTGTATGCCTTGACCGATAAGCATATTTAGGATAAAAATGTTTATGTACAATAAAACTTAAAAGATCAATGTTGGGGGATATATATAATTGATTAATTTTTTGTCTTGTCAATTACAAAAATAAATAAATAAATTTTTTTTAATAAATAAAAAAGAGAAATTATTAGTTTATTTATTAATTTTGTATATTTTAAAGTATTTATTTATTTTAATTTTCACTGACCACTGCACCTTGTTTTTATTTGTGCCGTATCCAATATGTAGCCCTGCAATCGTCAAAAATACATTGATTTTTTCTTTTTTCAATAGTTAATTTCATACGTCAATTAGTTTTATTTATTTTCTCAAAGAAAATCAATCAATTTTAAAACTAGAATTTTCCAAAATGCAGCATTACCCCTGTTGTTTTGTTTTTGTGTTTTTTTGTTGTTTTTTTTTTAAACAAAAGGTACAAAGTCACAAGTATTTTATGAATTAAACAGTTGTTAGCAAAATAAATAAATCAATAACTAATTAAATAATTCATACAATAATTAAATAATTAGTTTAAAAAAATAGATGGGTAAATATTTTTGTTGTAATGATTTCTTAATTTTTCAGAGTTATTTCAGAATTCTGACCGAACTCAATTAGTCTCTTTACAAATTAAAATAATATAACTATGTGTGTGTAATTTGTTAAAAAATCTCTCAGGTGAATAACTAAATGTACTAATGTTGTAGTCAGTATTGTATATAGTTAAGTGTTTTAAAATATTGTAGGTAACATTTATTTTCAGGTTTAAAACGGTTGACATTAATAAAAATTATGACTGAATTATTTGTGTTCTTGTTATTTATATCATCTGGTAAGTTTTACAAGATTTGCATTTATTTAGAGATTAAATTATTTATAGCTACAGACGACCTCGGACTGTATGACCTTAAATTTTTATGGTTGATTGCACCGCAGGTAGTTCGATTGGGTTACCTGGTTTGGCGGGTTTTTCACTTTCCCGGTGGCACAAGTTCGTGCTACATCTATACGTAGTTGCCAGGACAGGGTCAGCTATTACTTTGAAATTTTGCTCTACCTATTTATCTCTGTTGGAATTTAAAGGTAATTATTAGTTTATTGTAGAGTTATTTTCTAAAAGTATTTATTTACGTAATTTTCTCATTTCCATTACTTAGAAATTTGAGAAGTAGCGTAATTGTATTGTGTGCACACTGAGTTAATTGATTATTTGTACTCAGATAAATTTTAGTATGTTTTCAAGTATTTATCATTTATTAAAAATTTCAAGAGTAATATATATGGAAAAGTTAATTTTCATGGTTCTGAACAAATTTTAAATATATCGTAAAGTAAACAGACCCTACGTTTTTATACAGGACATTATCTTATTGTCATAATGGCTGTATACTAGAAGAACACATATTTTGTAACAAACCTTTACACCTCATGTGAGGTAAGATTGAGTGTGTGTATTTGTTTATTTGTCTTCAATATGTATTTCATGTGTATGTTCTGCATGACGTACTATTTTCTTTTATGTTAGTTTTATTTTGATTTTGTTTCGTTTCATTTTGTTTGTTGAGAAATTGTATATTATTCATTACATGTATCTATTTTATCAAAGATTTTCAGAAATAACTATTTTTCACAATTAAAAATTAAATGATTTTGTGATAGATAATTACCTGCCCCTGTCATGGTGGGCAGTGTTTTTCACGAGCAGAGCAGATAAATGTAAAATATTAGGAAACCGAGTGTGGGTAGATGGAAGTTATCGGTTGTAAGTTACCGTAGTTGTTATGAATTACTATATATAACTTTATCGCATGTAATATGGTGATATTGGACTGATTTTTTGCAGTAAATGCAGCGTTTGCTTATGAGTTGAACTCACCATAGAGGCATTGAACATTTGAACAACTGAAACAACTGAAAAATCTAAACTGTTATTGAACATATATATCGTCCTTACTTTTGATTAACTTTGCCATAATATCTAATCAAATCATAATGAGTAACAAAGACTCATCGAACAAAAGGTGTATCAGTGAACTTTCGCTTGACATGTCAAGATCATTCAGTGATGTGATCCAATCAACAAAAAAGTCTCGGGATGGCTCATTGTCAGACCAAATTCATGAACAGGAACCTATTCCTACTCAAACATCTACTCCTGCAAATATCAAATGTGCTACAGGTGACCTAAGTGAGCAACAACATCATGTTTCCCAGTACCCCACCCCTCAACTTTTAGTATCAGGGCCTATCACAATTTGTAGTGAGGATATACAAAAGATAGCAGAAAGTGTTAAAGCCTTACTCAGTGCTGACTTAGCCTCACTCACATCTGAAATACAAAGTATTGTTAAAAGCGATGTGCAGAAAGCAACTGAGCCCCTGGAACAAAAAATTAAAAACCTTGAAAAACAAAACAAAGATTTGTTCCTTAAAGTTGACGAACTAGAGCAATATGGTCGCAGGCCTTTAGTTCGAGTGTCTGGTATACCCGAAACGATGAACGAAAATACATCGGACAAAATCATGGGTGCCGTTACAGCCGCCGGTATTCCTCTTCAGCGAGAGGATATTATTGTATCTCATCGAGCTGGAAAACCTGATCCCAACCGAACACGCCCTAGACAAATAATTGCCCGATTAAAATCTATGGATCTTAAATTCCATCTTGTCAAAAATTCAAAAAAGTTCGCAGAAACTGATGAGACAGCTGGCATTACCATTAACGAGGATCTAACGAAGTATCGTGACAAGATCATGTTTCTGGGCAGACAACTCTGTCGAAATCGCAGGATAAAATCAGTGTCGTCCTCCAATGGCAAGATCAAAATTTACGATCGGAACAATGATTCTCATTTTATTCGAGAAGAGGCAGATCTAGTACCCTTTGGACACGAAATGGCAATCGATTAAATTGTTACAATCTGAAATGCGTTTAAATAAATTTAGGACATAAACTTTCCTCCCACACCAGTTTTTTTTCTCTTTCTTAGAACTCATGTAAAATGAACTGCATCATTTTATGTCTTTTGTTCTATGCAGTTCAACTTACTTGTTCCTTTCAAGACTTAGAGGTTCAATCAACCTCAAACTTTTTTGATGCAAAAAAATCTTGTAAAAAGTATTGTGTGTACAACTCAGTGTTTGTATATATTTCCTACACACAATATTCCTGTTTCCTGTTTCTTTGTTTTGTTATTATTCTCAATGTATATTTCTTTGTTCATTTTTTTGTTGTATTATTTTTTTGTATTATACTTTATAATCCTAACAACTTCAATTGTCATGCTTCATGCATTCCGCTGAATTTACCAAACTCTGTATTTTTTGTCCCATCTATAATGTTGCTCTTATCCAAAAACACCATTGCAGCACCTTTTTTATTTCGTACTGTACACTTTCACCAAATTTTAGACAATGGGTGACTCTGTTGAGCAATACCGTGCTGCAATTGGTCTTTTTTATTTATCCTGTAGAGGTGTATGCAAGTCTTACTCATTCCATATCTCGTTTTGTGAATTTTTATTGCGCGTTCTTTATAGTATGATCAAAACATTACTTAGAAGTTCGACACGGTTGACAAATAACTTAGTGTATATCAACTTTTACTTGCAGTTGTTTACGTTTATATTACAAGTAGAGCTTTTTTAAAAAGCTTCCCGTCTTTAGCAACAGTCTTAAACTGTAAACTGATCTACACCTATCAGGCCGTATAATTCTTTTGAATTTCTTGATTTTGTATTTCTACATTAGCTTTTTACTGGCATGAGCCCTACCACGGTTGTCGCTCGGTCATCTCCGTAAACTTTGACTCGCCAAGAGCTTTCGGCAAACCTCGGCTGATTCCATTTCCTTCTTCAAACAAGAAAGGGGAAAAGAATAATAACAAATTGTAAAGCCTGCAAGCAATAAAAATCAAATTTTATTTATAATGAAGTTAAAGAGATCTTTTAATTTTTTGCTATACAAAAAATCATGTTATTAGGAATTAATTACTGCTGATTTTGTTGTTCGTTTTGTCATTTTTTTTTAAGATTGAAAATCTTGCAAAATTGTTAAGTCGTACGAAAATTAGATCATCAGAAAGTTATCTCCCTTGCCTTGAACAGCATTTCAACCAATGAAATAATTCAAAATTTTCTCATCATGCATTTTTTACCAATCACAAAAGAGAGGAAGTGCATAGTCCGAAGACTGTAAAAAACTTCAACTATACAATACCGTCTTCCAAGGAAGACGGTAATTAGCCTGTGGTGATATTGAGGTCAATCCAGGACCCACTATCGAAAGTGTCCTTGACATTTTGCATCTAAATATTCGCAGTATAAGAAACAAATTAGGTTATTTGAACTCATTCGTCCATGACTTTGATATATTGTGTTTTACTGAGACCCATCTTGACCATACCATATCGAATGATAATCTATTATTAGATGGTTTTAGTAATATAATACGAAAAGATAGAAATTGTTTTGGGGGAGGTGTTATGATATATTTTTCAAATCAGATACATGTAACAAGACGCCAAGAATATGAACCTGCAAATTTAGAGTGTATTTGGTTAGAAATCGAAAACCGTACCTGTAAATACTATCTCTGCTGTATTTATCGACCTCCAAACGCTAATTCCAGTTTCTGGACTAAACTTTCATGGAGTTTAGATAAAGTAGGAGAATCCTCGAGTAAAATCATACTTGTTGGTGATATAAATGTAGATTTGTTAAATACTCCTCAAACACACATAATACGAGAAATAGTTTCAAATTCCAATCTTGTCAATAACATCCACGTACCAACGAGAATTTCTAACAATACACGCACGCTTCTTGACCCAGTTTTCACTTCAGCTGATATTCAGGTACATGATTCGGGTGTCCTTGAAATTGACCCAGCTTTTAG